TTTCCCTAGTTGCCTCTTCATCTCCTTTATTGGAGGGGGGGGGAAGCCAATTTACAAGTACTTCTCCCCGAATCAGTCTAAAAACCAGCACCGAGAAGCACGGGACAAATGAAAACTTGCAAGAAATCCAATGGACTAGGTTTGCAAAGCTCAGCAGCTAATAAGATAAGAAATTTCTCCCCATCAAACCCCTGATCTAAAAAACCGTTTCATGGTCATCCACCAGTTCAGAACTATTTGAGCCGTGAGATTCCCAAAGGAAATCCAGAAGTACAAATTAAATAGATGTTCTTCAGGTTGTGTTTCTTGAACTGTGCACTGTTGCCTCCAAAGGCATGGTTTTGGAGATGAAGTAGCCTGCTGTCTTACTCCAGGAGACAGCTGCCTTGTGCCAGCATAACCACAGTTTAGTTCCTGAAGAGGAAGCAGTCTGAGCCCAAAATCGGGACATTTAGGCAGCCCTTAGCCCCTCCCTGCATGCATACTGAGCAGACAGACAGCTTCATAGCATGTGCCTCTCTGGCGTCTTATGACGTGAGTCATAAGGTGTTCTTTTTGCTCATTATTTGGATGAGCCAGGCAATGCAACTGAAAATTTCATCACACCAATTTATCTTATGTATATTCATTCAAGCACAAAAACTCAGGAAGTCAGATTCACAGAGTGAAGACATGAAAGAGTTGCAGAGTTCCCAAAGGAAAGGAATATTCATGGCCCATTGTTTATGCTATGGCTTAGTTCTGTGCTATCCTGGCTGCAAAGAAGATTTCTGTACAGATAGAAAGTGTTCAGCAACCTCTGCATCCAGTGGACCAGAAGACATCTTGCCCACAGGATTAACACCCACTATTTTTCCCCCTGTAAGAGACCAGGCAGTTCTGAGAGCAAAAAGCATCACCTAACTCAGCCTGAATCTGAAAAATCCCAGTTCTGGGAACCCAGAGCTTGGCATTATGCCCACAATATGGGCCAAGGGCAAATCACTTCTTAATTACTGCTTACGGTGCAGATTTCTGCTTTGACTCAGGCAGGTACCAATCTGAAAGACATAACAAGACCCTTATCAGGCTGCAGTTAATCCACCCCAGCTATTGATCCTATTGGATCCACTGGTCCTGCTGTAACTGCAAGATTACAGATCCACTGAGATGCCTAAACGTTACGCTTATTTGGGGATCTCAAGATGGAGAGATATCCAGCACTTGGCTGTAGTGCATGCCTGGAGGCAGTGCAGACTGACCTCCTGGGAGAGCAGATGAATGCACAGTCTCCACCTGGCAGGCTGCACTCTGCTCTTCTTGGAAAGAAATCTGCTCTGCTGCTGAGCATCGAGCAGGAGAGCAAGAACTCAGCTCTCACCCCACACTTTCAATGTACCTTTATTCTCAGCAGTCACCTGGTCTCTGAGGTCTGCAATGTACCTAGATGCCATGGTCCGCACCAAGATCTTCTTGCTCAGTCATGTTAGTTCAGGCAGTTTGACAAGAACTTAGAAACCATTTCTATAAACCTCTTCTCTTCAGATTTGTCAAAATATTTTCTTCTGGGCTTGGACCAGCAAGAAAAGCCTTCAACCTCCAGGCACTCTGTGAGGTGTGCAATCCTGTCACTTGCTTCTTCAGCAGACCTGCCAGGTTTCCAGAGTTCTGCACGGAGCTCACAGAGAAGAGGAGGAAGTCTCTATTTTAATATTCACAGCAAGAAACCAAACTAGCTGTACACCTGTGATTTGACACAGACATTCTCTGGAGTTCGATGAAGGACTCAGATATCAATAACAAGGCAGGAAGGTTTGCGCCAAAAATGAAACTCGTTCCAATCGATGTTCACACCACAGTTGGCTGCAACTCGTCCAGCTTTTTCTTCTGGACAGACCTGGCATGCAGCTGGGCAGAATTAACAAAATGAGGAGGATCAGCAAGAAGCTTGGTGGAATTTCTAGGCAACATCTGTGACAGTGGCAGTGCTGTGCTGCAGGTTACCATGAATTTGTGGTCACAGAGTCAAGGTACAATCAAAGGAAAACAAAAAAATGGGAAGTCTCCATTGTCTGCATATCTCTAATTGATCTGGATCTTTAGACACCCCCCTCCTGGGAGCTGGATAAGCAACAACAACTGGGTTACGCCATCAACAACAAAGTCCATAATAGGCATTGCAAAGAATATGTGTGAAAACTATAAAGTGCTAGCAAAACCCATTTGTCACTAATATTTGCTCCTGGGAATTGTTCAGAGAGAGTCATTAAGATTATGATGAAATACTTATACTGCAGCAGCTCACAGGGCAGGACTTGTCCCTGCTCTTCTGGCTCCCATGAAAAAAAACCACCAACAAACACACCCCCCAAAACAGAAAAAAACCCCAAACAAACAAAACAAAACAAACAAAGCACTAACTCTTCTCCCAGGAGCTCAGGTTCCACCAAAAGCAAACTCCACACTCACAAGGTCACTCCTTTCTCTCTTCTGGAGGTGATGTCTAAAGGGATCATGGTAAGGTTAGTACACTCATACTGGCACAGAGTTGCCCTACATAAGCAATCCCCTGCCCCAGTAAGCAGCTCGCAATGTGTATAGAGCTGCCCCTGTGCTTAAGGGCCCCCTTAACTAAACCCACTTGAGAAGAGACTTCAAGAGAGACCATTGTTGTCTGGGCTGGGGTGGTGCCAGGGAAGGAGTTTCAAGGAGTGGAAATTGGGCCCTGAGCAGTAATCAGAGCTGAATACTGCTTCTGCTTATGGAAGGACAGGCTTGCCACAGACACAGAAAATAAAGACTGCAGATTTTGTCTTGGCCCCTACAAGACAGAAGTCTGGGACAGGGTCCCCATTTCCCATTACCTTCTTTCCAGTGCTATTTTGATGCTTTACTATTTAGCAGAAGCATGTGCTATGCGTGTGGTTGGTTTTACCCAGAGGCAATTA